GCCCCAGGTGGCTACAGTGATGTGAACGAGTGTAGCACCCCCCAGCCTGGGTGAGTCTGGGGAACCAGCAGCCCACGCAGGGCCCAGCACAGGTACCATGACTAAGAACGGAACTGTGGCTGCCTTGTCCGTGAGCTCCTTGGAGGTGAGAGGCCACGGGCCACCAGGAGTGTGTGTGTGTGGTTGGGGGGCAGGGGAGCAAGTGGCCTGTCCCCACATTTCTCTGGGCAGCTGCCCACCAAGTGCAGAGATTGGGTGCAGGGCTTCTGAGAGCCTGTGCACACCTGGCTTGCCCCAGTACCCTAATTCCTAGACTCCCTTCCCAACAAGAAGCTCACTTGGTCCCCCAAAGCCTGGGTTGAGCCCCATTTCAGAGATGCCGAGCACCCCCAGGCTGTTGTGGGGTTGCAGGGTGGCCCTGACAGCGTCCTAGGGGCCCGCTCTTCCAGGCAAAAAGGCCATGGTTCAGGTTGGCAGGCAGGGGGGTGGGGGGGAGGGTGCACTCGCCCAGCCACCTGCACAGTTGTTCCCTGGGACCTGGGCCAGGAGGGTAGGCGAGGGGGCGTACTGGGGATTGTGGGGAGCCAGTTGCCCACGCGCCCCTTCTCCACAGCGGCGGAAATCGCGCTACGCAGAGCTGGACTTCGAGGTGCGTGGGGGCTCACGGTGTCCTTGGGCGGGGCTGCAGGGGAGCCTGGCGGGCGTGCCGGGATGGGGGGCGAAGAGGCGGGGGCGGGTGAGGGACTCGCCGCCCCTTCCCCTGCAGAAAATCATGCACACCCGGAAGCGGCACCAGGACATGTTCCAGGACCTGAACCGGAAGTTGCAGCACGCAGAGAAGGACAAGGAGGTGCTGGGCGCGGACAACAAGGTGGTCGGGGCCAAGTGGAGGGAGGGTCCGGGGCCGTCTCCCCGCTACGCTCCGGCTGAGGCTCGGCCCTCGCCCCCGGACCCCTCGGGAAGGGCGGGCGGCGCGCAGGGGCGCCCGGGGACCGTGGGGTGGGGGAACCACCGCGCGGGCCGTGGGGGGGGTGGACACGCCTGCTGACCGGTCCCCGCTTCCCTGGACCCCGGCGCGCGGCCCGCAGCCTGAGAAGCAGCCGACGCCCAACAAGCGGCCGTGGGAGAGCCTGCGCAAGGCGCACGGGACGCCCGCCTGGGCCAAGAGGGAGCTGGAGCCGCCGGCGCCCTCGCCGCTGGAGCTGCGCGGCGTGGAGTGGGAGAAGACGGGCGCCACCATCCCGCTGGTCGGCCAGGACAGCGTGGACCTGCAGACCGAGGTCTGAGGGCGGCCGCGCGGCCACCGCAGCGATGC